TTTTTTTCATTGTGGGTCTGTACTCTCTGAGAGGCCAGTAGAGCAGCAACAGTAGCTGTAAAACCCCAACTTTTACTAGGCTGAGAAGAAAAATAGAAAAGAAGGCCCCAAATAACACCCAGTAACTCTGCTTCCTTCCCCTGCTTGCTGTGGGGGTGTGCAGACCTGGGATCTTCTGCCTTCAGACAAACGTGGACTCCTTTATCTCATATAAATGCTTCTTCGGAGGCTTAGATGTTCACATTGCCTCTTCTTGGTTTTGGGACCAAGCAAACACCCTGCGAGGTCTAGACCTCGGCTGAGATTCCTGTAATGTACAGTCTTAATTTCCAGCCCCTTCCATGCAATGCTGCTGTTCCCAGATTGGATCAAATAAAAAATAAAGTCTTGGTCCCCTTTGACCCTAAATCCTTGCACAAGTCAAGGATTGTTGATGGTTTAGATACAGGCGTGGTGTTCAGTTCTTCTAGCAAAACGCTTGTCCTTGCTGTTCTGGGAAGTGGGTGTTTGAACAAGCACGTGGTCCTTGCCTGGCTAAAATGGGGTGCAGGTTTCTGAGGTGAAGGGTTTTGATCACCCCAGAAGCCATGTGTGTTCTCCAGGCCTTTGCTCGCTCCAAGATCCCATTGCCTCTGGCTGTGCCTGGATCCTTCCTGTCCCAGAGGTGGATGAGAACAGGGTTTGGCTCTGCTTCTGCAGAAAGCATTGTGCCCCAGCAGCCTCGTCTGCTTCTCCTCTCCCTCCGCAGACTGGGCTTGCTGCATGGAAAGCCCTGTTGTCCATCCCAGACCAGTCCCCGAGTCCAGGCAGGGGTTGAAAGCATTCCCAGACAGTGGATGTTAAAGCACTTCTTGAGAAGCAGAAAATTCCTGAATACATCAGCTCAAACAGCTGGAGACCGTGGGGGGCCTCTGCCTGGGGAGGGAAGGGGAGGTGGTAATTCCTCACGGGAAGTCTTTAACACGATTTCTGGGTAGCGGCTCCGGTGCCATCAGGCCGATGAGCAGCGGTGGAGCATCTTGTGACACGCACGGCTTGCTCGGTCCCCAGGGAGGGTGGGAGGTGTGGTGGTGGCAGTTCTGGTGGCACCCCGCTGCCCAGGAGCCTCCCTTCGTCCCCGCTGCCACATAACCCTGCTTGGTGTTGACTCTGGCCGGCAGCCAGCTTTCTCCTCCTGTTTCCTCTGGCTCGGTCAGACACGCTGACCTGGGAGGTGAGAGGAAAGGGAAGAGGGCAGCGATGGGTCCTGGGCACCCTGTGGGGAGGGATGCGCCAGCACGGCCGCTTCCTCTGCTCTTAAATATTCCTAGGAGAAAGAATATCCTGCTAGAAAGCAGATACGTGACAAAATTACATTGTGTCGTGTTTCCCCCCCCCAAAAAAAAAGCATCCCTTGCTCAGGGAGGGCTGGCTGGCGGCTGCATGCCTTGCAAATCCCCTTGCCCCAGCGCAGCCCCTGGGTTAAAAAGGATGCGACATCCATCCTGAAAGTGGCGAGGCCAGAAACAAAACCAGCTGGGGCTGTGACAGCGTGACCTGGGGGGGATTCAGCAGAACGAAGCTTTATTCCAGAGAAGGGATGATGCCACCGAGTGCGTAAGGGCTGTTTACAGAGATAATCCCTTTCTCCTTCCAGACGTAAATCTGGTGCAACCCGTTTCCTTGAGAAGCACTGATACCATCAGACCCGCATTTAGGTTTTTTTCCTAGCTGCTGCCTCCCCTCCCCACCCCAGCAGGCGCAGGAGCCCAGTGCCAAGTTTTCGGGCAGCTCCGGGAGCGAGCTGGCCCTTTGCCCCCTGGGGACGGGCAGGGCACCGCGGCACGGAGCCAAGGATGCCGTGCGAGCGGCCGAGGCGACCTTGCAT